CGCTAACAACTGAAAATCTAAAAGAAACATGCTAAAAATACTAATACAACAGTGCTGTTTCACATGGAACTGAATTCTTACGCCTTCTAACAATATCCTTAGGTTGTGTTTGAATTGATAGTAAAGAAGAAGAATAAGAAGGAAAGAGAGTCTCTCTTTCTCTTTCTGTCAAAACAAACATACTCACTTATTGCGTTCTTGAATTAAAAAAAAAAAAAGAAAACGTAAAGGGAGTGCATTTTGTTACAGTCCTAAAAGCTAAATGGCTTGGCTTTATGCATTCCAACAGTTTTTAAGGCTTTTGGTGTATAGATCAAAGATGTAACATGGTTTCTTAGATTATCTATTCAAAATAAAAATGGATAAACAATATAAGAAGATATTATAAAGGGCTACACTATTCTAAACAAAGAACTTTTGAAATATTAGAAATTAAAATAATGGATGATCCCATTTGAAATTACAATCTCTTCCAGAATCATTAACCATTTGTAATCACCTGCAACAACTACAGCTTTTCCCCCAAGTCCAAATCCCCAATCTCCATTATGATGCAAGAATCATAGTGGAATTACATTTATATGCTTCATGTTGTATTAGTAGAGTGTTTTCAACCCATTGTTGACCTATACAGAGAGATTGGTGATCCGGTCATGATTCTTGTTCCGGTCAAGTAGTCAACATGTTATCCACCATTTTATAAAAAAAAAAAAATGTTGACTTGATCAATGACCTGTCAGTCTGTATGGTTTACTGGTTAGATTCCACTTTTTATTGTTTGAACATCTTAAATGATGATGATGATGATATCATTGATTGACTCATTGATCCAAATGGTTAAACTGATGACCTATGCACCCAGAGGCACAAATTTTTTTTATGACATGACACCTGGCACCAAGTCTCAAGCAAGTATTACAATGCTACAAACATGTTTCCACCGAACGAAAATGAAGATTTGCTTACTTGTATATCTTCTCAATTTGTTAATTTGAAGTTTTGAATGTATTAAGGGTGAAAAAAAAAAGACTAGACAATATGAGTTCAAGTAAGAGAATGAAAAAAAATTAGGGAGAATGGCGGTTCAGCCTAGGGTCAGAATTTTTAGGCCCAAAGTACAATTGGGGTGGGTGCCAGTTCGGAATTGATGTCAATTCACAGGCATGCATTGATGTATAGAATTGGGGGTTTTGACATTTTGAATGTTTATAGCTCTGCAGTGGAATTCAGAAATTTGCATTGGGCCTGTTTGTACTTCTCAAAAAAAAAATCTATCAAGATAGATACACACACACACAAAAAAAAAAGATTTATAGTCTTAACATCTACAACTCTATATGATGTTGCGCGATCCGGTCACTCCTACCTGGCACTCACGTGGCTTCTGAAAGATACCTAAGAAGAAGAAGAATCACAGGGGGAGTTACCCGGCGGGGTCACTCCGATGATTAAGTCAATACTCGGTAGGAGAAGCAAGGAGAAGATGAAGGCTAAGAGTGTAGATAGCGCAAGTATTGAGGATGAAGATAATTCAGATCATACCTGTTCTCCTTGATACTAAACCCTTATATCAAAAATTGGTTGTCCTTGGCTCCTTGGCCCCTAACAGGGCGGGTATAACCACCACTGTCAACCTGCCATAGCCGTTACTGGCAGGGCTGAGGTGGCACGCGCGGGGCCGTCACCGCAGGGTACGTGCCTGTCAGGTGTAAGACACCCTCTAAAGGTGGCAGGCACGACGCTGCCTGACGGGGGACATGACTGTTGTCACCAGATTTGTCGGGTACGACGGTCGGGCAGGAGGTCTTCCTGCGATATGCCGGACTATCCTTTCGCGAGTTACCCTATGTTGGGCTATCTTATAAGCGGCAAACTGCCTGTGGCAAGCTAAGCCGAGCTGTCTGGCCCGGGGTGTTTTCACCTCGGGTGTTTATAGNATATGCAGGACTATCCTTTCGCGAGTTACCTTGTGCTGGGCTATCTTGTAAGCGGCGAGCTTCCTGTGGCAAGCTAAGCCGAGCTGTCTGGCCCGGGGTGTTTTCACCTCGGGTGTTTATAGGCGAATTGGTGTGTTCCTGTCTAGGGGTGACCCGAGGTCCATTGGGAGGAGCTTGGGTATTAGGAAAGGTCAGGGGACCTCGAGCTCGGAGGCAGTTCGGGGTGCCTTAGCCCTGGGAAGGGAATGTTGGCCAGGCGGCTCATTCGCGAGCTAAAGTTGCCTCAGGGTATTCCTTCAAAGGGGGCTCGGGGAACCCGGAGCTCGCGTCGTGACGAGCTTCTTTTGTTGTGGTCTACGATACAGCGAGCTGCCTTATCGGCCCGGCACTAGGCTATAATGCTGAACTGTTGCTCGTGCTGAGTCAGTGTCCACGTATCACTGTTTCATAGGTCAGGTCAAACCGTCCTCCATCACTATATATTAGACTTCAGTACTTCACCTCTATCAATTTTTAATAAAATTTTCGTAGAAGTTTTGGTAGTAATAAATAGATAAATACTTTTACGATTTAACTATAATTTGAGTAGTTAACATACAACAAAAGCACTTGATATTCGATCAACACATTCCAAGCCTTTTGCAAAGAAGTGTCAATAAAAGGTCCTTTTAGTGTTCAAATCGAGATCACCATGAATAACTTCAATTTTACTAGGCTTAACATCCTCTTCAAGTATCAGTAAAAGGTCCTTAACCGTTCAAATCGAGATCATCATGAACAACTCCAATTTTACTAGGCTTATGATCCTCCTCTGAATTTCTGTTTGATTTCCAGTACTCAAGAAATAATACCACCAAAACTTTTCCCAGGGTTAGTGTTTCTAAATACCAAACAAGAGCCGCAGACTAAACACAAACACAAACAGAATCTTGTTCTTCTGCTTTTTTCATAATGTGAAACGTGGAAGTGATCTCTAACTTTTTTTTTTTTTCTCCTCCTTTTTTCAGCCCAGTTTTGCAAGGATGCATGGCTAGAAAAAAGATCGAGTTGTCTACGGGTTTTATTAGGGCTATGAAATATAGGCAGTTTTTTAATATCCTTTGTATCATCGTCATCATCATCATCATCATCTAGCCCCTTCACTTTGCAATAAATCACAGATTATTAGAGGCAAAAGACGATGCAAACTTTTGCATCAAAATCTTAGTAACTTGGACTCAGTTTGGAAGGAGTACAAATCATGGTTTTTAAAACCGGCCCGATGACCGAATCAGTCAGGGATCCAGTTATCGAGTCGAACGGTCTGACTGTTCGAACCGAACGCTCGACCCGTTTTGATAGAAAAATAAAAAATAAATAAATAACGGTCATAACCGTTCGAATGGTTAACTACCTAGTTCAGCGGTTCGCTAACCAAAATCAACGATTTTGGGGGAAATCCGGTTTTTGGGGAAAACAGAACCGGTCAAGTGACTGGTTCTCAATTTTTCTGGTCTAGTTCGGTTTTGAAAACCATAGTACAAATGCAAATTTGTAGAGTGCAAAACCTTGTATTTTGTATGTATTTGCATTGTACATATTTATATTTGTACTTCCAAATTGAGCCTTGAAGACTGTTTAGTTAAGATGCGTCTATTTGCACGTTTTTCCACGCGAAGACAAGTTGAAAAAAGGCAAAAAACTCTATTTGAAGCTTTCCATAAATAGCCAAAAATGAATTTCCCTCATCTTTTCAGAGCTATGGCTTTCAACAGCTAGATCTTTTCCCAACCAGATGGGAAAAGACTAAAGCGTGGGCTGTCGAGCTTCTAAAAAGCCGACAGCCCGCACGAAAAGATATGCCAAACGGGACTAAAAATTTTTGATCCTATCTTTCCTTTTTTTTTTCACTTGATTATTAATTCTAGAATAAAGAATGAAAATGAACAAAACCAGATGTCAAATCATTCTATGCAGTCTAAAATTACTATGCATTTCCTGAAAAATTAGCATTTTTGTGTACCATTATTTTACCAGACAACAGATTCTTCCCAAAACCGATCATAGCAAATTTTTATTAAGATGATTTTTTTTTCAACCATATCTGGATTAATCTGGTCAAATTCGAAAACCATATTCCGTATATATTGCAAATAGTTAGTTTGACCTTTTTTCTAGTAGGATACAACAGATCCCGTCTCTATTCGCGTAACCTGATCTTTGTTCACAGCGAGAGATGATTTTGTTAACCAAGGTGTAAACTAGTATCACCCATAGAAGTAAATTTATACCGCAGTGGTTACTGGTTACAGTCCAAGAGAGACCTCTGATCGACTGATCCTCCATATTTTGAAAACCCATCTGAATGCCGAACCATTTACCTTAGCAGTTGCCTTCCAAAACCATAAGAATAGGACCTGAAAGAATAGGAAAAATATAAAGAGAAAAGGAAAATTGAATAATAGAATACATTGAATATCCAAAATAGATAAGCTTTCGGCATTTTGAATACACATTTTTATTGATGAGATGTTTCCAGGCTGAACGGATTCTGAATAAGGGTTAATGTTCCCAACATCAGTAGTTGACGTTCTGCTTACACCGGCTGGGAGCATTCAGTAAGAAATGACAAAGTCATCTGTTTAAGCATGCTCATGGTTCCTTCTTGGCCGATGTCAGAAGAACTTCAGTTGCTCCCCTGGTTGCAAACTTGCGATGCACGTTAAGGAAATAGATACAAAAGCACTACAGTAGGTCATGAAGTGTAACCGAATGCATGCATCTCTGTTTGCATGTGCTTCATAAGCTGTATTCATGGAGCATCAAGACACTGAACATTTCTTTTAGGGTACTTGGCACAGAAAGACTCTGGAGAGCTAATTCATGTACAGAGTGTGGGAAGGTTACAACTTACAAGGAAATTGTCGCTTCAGTCCTAAATCCATTGGTTACACAATAAAAAATTCTAGATATATCATGGCATGAAAAGGGTGTTTTACATCAAAAAAAAACAGGCACATAATGAACATAGCGTATGAAAATTTAACGCATAGATCAAGCCAACCTTGCAAAATAAAAGACAAATAACCCTTAAATCTCACGAGTTTTAGTCAACTTGATGCCTTTATGTACAGAGTGAGATTTCCACATAAAACACTTCATCCTCTTGAAAATCTCATGTATATTGGGGATCACTGTTTCTACAAGTTAATGATCTAGAATACCTGTTGGCCTAAGACCGCCACTTATATCCGACTTTGCTTAGCCCTCAGATAACCACTCTGCCTCCCTTCCCCCATGAGAAAATGTCAAGGCCGCCTCCAACCTCTCCAACCAGGAGATCCAGTAGAACGTTGCACATCAAACGGATTGGACCCTGGTCTCAAAGAGGGGTTAGGATTGAGAACAAATGAAGAACTTGGACATCTCTGATTAAATCCAACAGATCTTGGTTGTGCTGGCTTCACTGTGATAGTTACGGGACAATGTGGAAACCCACCAATTGATCCTTGGAGATGTGGTAGTGGATGATTTAGAACTTGAGATGTTGAAGGGATAAGTGGCAGAGGTGGAACTGGTGGTACCTTTCCCAATGGTGGATTGGGAACTGAACACCGGATATTGGGGATTGAGGGTCTAATACTGGCAACTGGTGGTGATCGGTTCTCATGCTCTAGATCTGGGGGACACCATTCAGGCATATCATCATCATTCCAAAGGTTTTTTTGTGGGAAAATTGCTGCAAAATTAGCTGGTTTTGGTACCTCATTGCTATGCTCAACCGGCTTTCCCTTTATGTGATGTAACAATGGCATCTGTGGTTCATGATCTCCAACTCTTTTTGGTTGGGATCCTTGGTTGGTATCCAATTTAATTCCTGGGAAAGCTGGGTTTTGTGGTCCTTGGTGGCTGGTAACTGACTTTGGCTGTACAGGCAGTTTTTGTAGCATGGACCCATCAATATTCCTGATTCCTTCTGCAGACAGTTTTTTGACAAGTTGAATGGCATCTAAAACATTAACACTGTTACAGGACAAGAGAGACTTGGGTGGAGTTTGAGAAACCACACTTGTGGTTCTGAAGTCAAATTCAGGAAGATCATCATCATCAGGAGGAGCAAGGGGAATCTGTTTCACTTTTTGAGATGGAATGGGAGGAATATGTCTCAGAGGTTTTGAACTTGAATCAGGTTTTTCAGGTTTTGAGCTACACCTGGGGGGAATTTCAACTTCCATTGACTGTTCCATAGGACCCTGAGGAGATCTTGCTTCAGCATGTGAAGCAGCTTGGGATCCCACTGAAATGGGAGTGTTATTTTGGGTGGGAGTGGACATTGGACTACCAGATTTGACATGAACCATGCTAGACTGGACGATCCTGTTCTTACTACCCATGTTTCCAGAACTCTCAGTAGCTGAGGGCACTGTTTCACAACCAGGTTTCGAACCCTCAGATGGTTGTGTGGGAGAAATTATTTGAGTTACTTCTGCAGTTTTCTGAGAGTCCGAAGGGGAATTAATAGGTTTTTCTGGCAAGGAAGCATTCTTTTTCTCAGACTTCTTTGAAACAGAATTTGAAGATATGCGGTTTTTTCGCCAAACAACGCAGCCAATTAACGAATCTTGGTCATCTTCAACTGCTGCCATGCCCTTGAAGAAGCCATATTTTGCAAGTATCGTGATTATGGTGTCGCTTCGAGGACAAACATAAAGATCAATACCTGGAGACAGTTGTGCAAACCCTACTCTCGCCCTTTCTTTATAACCTTTTGCAACCTGTAAATGGGAATGAAAAAGAAAAGGAATCAACTTACCAAATCAGAACCGGATTCAGCATATCATATAGGTGCTATTCCTTCCCTTATATTCGCTCACCTCCTTCATGCCCTTGAGTCCAGCTTTGGAAGACCCAACTTTCCAGCAAAGTGAGATTACCTGCAAATAATTAGAAAAGAGAAAAAAGACTACCCATAAATAATCATGCATATATTTCAGCGTCAACACTCCTAATTCCTAATTGTAACTATGAAATGCATTTACACTGCAGAGAGAGGGGATGATGAGGATTAACTCTAAGGAGTTACTAGTTAACATGATCTAGGAAATAAATTAATTGATTGGTGTTGCCTAGGAGAAGAGTCCACTATAAAGCCTTCTGGTCACTCTGTTTTCCATTCTCAAGAACAGGCACAGCAAAAATATGCCTTGTAATTTATATACCGCCAAGTTAATAGTAAACTAGTAATTCAAAGAAAAGAATGAAATGTTACCATCAAGCCACGGTTGCGTGAACGAGGAAGTTCTTGGATAAATTTTTCAAAAGCCTCTAATCTTACTTTTCCTTTAACTTCTACAGATTCAGACCAGTTGACCTCTGGCATCTTCTCACCACTGCATGAATATTGCATTACAAAGCAGTCAACTACCTCTTCCTACTTTAATCTTAAGCAAAGTAAGAAATAGAAAAAATGAAAGAAAATACTGTGGGACTTGTCCGGCCAAGTTTTATCACATTCAGTTTAAATATTGACAATGCCAACTGCTATAAATGTAAATACAGCCATCAAGTCTTCATGGAAGTCATCATATTGCATTTCACAATCCATGTCTGAACAAGCATATGGATACAAAATGTGACTCAAATTAAGAAGCAAGATTACTAGCGAAACAGTTAGAAAATGCCATTTCAAATCATCAATTAGAAAAGGTCAAAGAATAAAGTGAAAAACAACTGTGGAAGTCATACAATTAGTATACTCTTCATGTGAATGTGAAGCAATTCATGTGGTGCTACTTTGCTAGATGGTCAAGCTTAAAATAACATTGTATGTTGTGTCTTTCATATTCATAGTTCATTTTCTAGTCAATGTCCAACACTAATGGGATATCCGATACCAAGCACCACTGTAAATATGGTTCTCTCAATCTGACTAACCATTTCTTGCACCAAGGATGTAAATGTCCAAGGAGTAGTATTTGACAAACATTTGAGAATACAATTTAACAATGAGATTAAGTATTTGTGGGAATCTAGGAGTAGGACAAATGAGAGAAAGAAGACAAAATGGTTTGTGAATGTCATACAGAACACTGCCTGCTGCACCAGTAAGAAATGATCTTATGCAAGTTTAAGGGTCTAGAAGAGGTAGTGGCTGGTCAAAAAGAAAATTGGTTGAGAAAGTAAGAAACAATTTGAAGGGCCACAATCTAACAACGGATATGACCATTGATAGTGGAATTGTGAAACAAGATTCATGTAGACAAACTCGTATAACTGGGGATAAGGTTTTGTTGAATTGAAAATTTAAACACTTACAAGGCCATCTGTTTGTTTTCATCACCCATATCTGTGTTGGGATTTTAGGAAATGGAGAGTCATATCCCTGTTTTCTGTATCTGTGCTGTGTCCATATCCATATCTACACATCATAGCATTTAAAATCCTACTTAATACTTATCAAGAAAGAAAGAAGTCACAAATGACGGATTGAATTTGAGGGCTAGCTTTAATTTTTGCAATTTTATTAGGTATCTTATTATAACCATGGAACAGTAGGCTCTTCTGTAGAATGGCCAGTGACCTCACATGCACCCTGCTTTGTCCCCCCACCCTTGACCCTGAGTCCCCCTATAATGTGTACCATGTAATACAAAAAATAAAATAAAATAAAATAAAATACTATGAAGTAATTGTCACTTTATTGTTGCCTAGTTGAAATGTAAAAAGTAAACATGTCCTAGCTCCTCTAGAAGATAACAGTACGCTTGCTCATGCTGGGTGGCAACCAACTTGTAGTACCTTTCTTTTTCTGAAGAGCTTAATCATCTTCACCAACTTGTATTACTTAATCATCTTTTCATTTTCCTCTTTCTATTTTCCACAAAGAATGTAATAAAAGAATTTGTAGGGGGCTCAAATACAAAACATACGATGGAATAACTTGATAAAGATTTTTCACCTTATGAAAAGCTCTTGATAAAAGTTACTACATGAACTTGATCTGATATGCATCTCTAGAAACAGCTGTTGGGAAGTTGCTGCTTTAGAGAGTTGGCCAACCTTAGCACCAATTGTAATAAGATGTTACACCATAAATCCAAGACGCAAACCTCATGGCTCAAATGATGGAATCCACCAGATGACATTAGATGAATTACCTTCTATCACATCCTATCATAACCAATCAAATGGGGCAACCTGAGTCCACCAGCCCATGGCTATGTGTGAATCTCCAATACAAATTGGGCTAGAGAGCACTATATGATCCTAAAGTAATTTCTAAATCCTTCCCAAAGTGCTAGATGGGCTTGAATTAATAATGCAGCACCCGTCAAAACTAGCATTATTCTAATTAGTATCAAAAGGTAACTTAGACCTCGTAAATTTCATCCTCAAATTGGTCCCTAACTCTAAAAGTTGAACTAGAGTCTATATTGTTGAACATATGGAGAATTGATTATTGAAAAAAATGTAGAGAGAACCAATGGGAAACTTTCAGCTTGACCATATTGACAACTGAGATAGAGTACTAAATTTTTCCCATCAAAAAGTCCATTTCCTTCCAAGTGCCCCACATAATGTTATACATGCATACCTAGGATAATTTATTGCTCTTACTGAAATAGACCTGAACCCCAACAATGCAACAGGTTACAAATGCCCCTTTTGGGAGACTGAGATCCCAAACAAACCGCTGTGAAAAAATCACTCAAATGGTGAGGATTGCTACCACTTGCTAATTTCGTGCCCTTTTCTACTACTATTTTTTGTTTAATGAATCCTTTTGCTACCTCTATTTGGAATTGGATTTTTGCTCTTTTTGGGTGCAAGTGGGTTCAGCCAAAGAAGTAAGGCTGTTGTTTGAGTCCTCAGCTTTTGTGTGGCCCTCTAAAAGAGGGAAAGTAATGTAGAAATGTATTAGGGCAGATTCTTTGTAGACAATCTGGAAGGAAAGAAATTCCAGGATCTTCCAAAATAAGGAAAGCAGGTTTCTAGAAGTCAAGGATTGCATTTTGACAAGAGTAATGCATTGGTTGAAGACTACCATCTTGTTCCAATCTTTCACCTTTGATGACTTGTGGGCGTGTTGGTTGGAAAACTTAATGGGTTCATCCTCCTGATGGGGTTCTAAAACTTAATTTTGATGGCAGTAGTCAAGGTAACCCTGGACCATCTGGTATTGGAGGGGTGATGAGAGACAGGGATAGTAATACTATAGCTTTTTTCTCAGGTCTAGTGGAAAGTGGAGATTCTACCAGGGCTGAATTATTAGCAGCCATAGAAGGGATTCAACTAGCAAGTCAACTTGGTGTGGAAAATCTAATAATTGAAGGTGACTCTAAGGTGGTTGTGGCTTGATTGATGGACCTGGACTTGCTTGTCTGGTGCTTCAGAGAACTCATAAATAAAGTCAAATGGTTAACAAGAAACCTAAATATAAGATGAAATTGGGTTTGTAGGTCAGCAAACAAAATGGCTGATTGTCTTTGTTAAAATACAGCTTTGTTTTAGGGTTATTTTAGTCTTTTCCCTTCTTTAAATCAGTGTTTTTTTGTCTCTATTTTCAAGCATTTGTATACAGGGGTAATAGTGTAATTTTACCTTTTATTATGAATTAAACATTCTGGGTGGCAGTTCTCTTCTTCCATAGAAACTGTGTAGCCCTATTCTGTTCGACCTTTCTTCTCCTCTTCTTCTTCTCCATCTCTTCTCCTTCTAGGCTCATACCAGAAGCCTTCTTTTATTTATTTAATTAAATACAGGCCTGATAACATGGTATCAGAGCCTGGTTGATCGAGTTTCCTAACTGCATCAATGAAGGACACCTGCAACTGGTCCGGCTGAGTTTTTATACCAATACGAGAAGAAAGGAAGGGGAAGAACCTAAAAGGACTGATCGCCCAGAAGGTTAAGAGGCTTCTATGCCTCAACCTGCATCATTGGTCGACTGTTTGATGGTGGTTTAGACAGACTCCCTCGACTCAGCAGTTAGAAGAGGGACTGTGAATGTGAAGTTCGGCTGATTGTTGGCTGTGGTTGATGTGTTTGGTGGGTTATTTCTAGGAATCGGGAAGTTGATTGACTCGTAGAAGTAGTTTTTATGCTGATATTCCAGGTTTAGGGGTTGCGGCTATGCTGTTGAAGTTTCAAAAACAATAGTTAACTCGGTTGAATGCTGTTGTTGAGTCGGGAAGGTGTTCGTCTAGGGAGTGTTGCAGAAGTAACTGATGGCTACCTCTGGCTGTACAAATGACGTCGGTAAAACTTAATGGTACCAACTACATACCATGGGCAAAGTCGATGGAGGTAAATTTGACAGCAAGAGAAAAGTTAAAATATATTAAAGAAAACAAACCAGACCCAGGAGCAGCAGGGTATGATGATTGGATCCGGGAGAGTGCACATATTATGACATGTCTTTGGTACAGTATGGAACCTCATATCAGTGTGAACCTGATGTTCTTTGACACTGCGAAAGAAATTTGGGAAAATGCTAAGCAGTTGTATTCTGGACAAGACAATGTAACTAGAATCTATCAATTGTATCAGGAGTATTTTCAATTACAGCAAGGTGATAGGAATGTGGAAGAGTACTATGCTTGCTTGAAGAGTTTGCGGAATGAATTGGATTCGTATAAGCCTCTTTCGATTGATCTCAAAGTGCAAAAACAACGGAGAGATCAATTGGATGTGGCACGTTTTCTTTCCGGATTGAGGTCTGAATTTGAACTAGTGCGAGCCCAGATTTTAGGTAGCAGTGACATACCTATACTATCATAAGTCTTCTCTAGAGTAAGAAGGGTTTCGAGTCCACATACAGATAGCTCTCCAGTATTAGAGAAGTCAGCCCTAGCCGCAACCAGAGGTGGTAGAGGTGGCTCACGTGGTAGAAGTAGCTCTCCCAAAGGTGGTAACTATGATGTGAGAGGAGGTCACAATGGTGGTAGAGATGGGAATTTTAGAGGTCGTGGTGTCAATATTGCTAGTCAAGGAATGATCAAAGAATACAGCTATTGTGGACGGGAAGGACACACTGTGAACTACTGTTCTGATCTGCATGGCCCACCTTCTACTTGGGCCAATCATGCTACTGTAGAAGGAGATAGTGGTACTACGAGAGATGACTCCACTACTTTAGGTACTGGGAAGGAGAAGGAAATGGTTTCCATCACCTGAGAAGAGTATGAAAAACTTCGTCTGTCTTCTTCTTTCGGTAATACTGCAACTCTTGCAAAGTTAGGTACAACATGTCTTGTTTCTTCCTTTAAACCATGGATTATTGATTCTAGGGCCTCAGATCACATGACTGGGTTCCTCAGACCTCTTTGCATCTTTATCCCCTCCCTTTACCACCCAACCGGTTACTCTGGCTGATGGTACTACATCCCGT